GGTGCCCTGGGGCCACAGGTTGTGCAGGGAACGAGATGCCTGAGTCCTCAGGGCAGGGCTGCGTGCCGGTGTGAGGCATCCTGCCCGAAACGGGGCTCTCTGTGAGGATAGCTCAGCCAGAAGACCCAGCTGGCTGGGACGGGAGGTGGAGGTGAGCTGTTCAGGGAGGTTGGGAGCGAGGCACAGGGTGCTCGCAGTTGGCTTCAGCGTGCTCGCAGAGGCGTGAAGCTGCACCCACACTGGGCGATGTGAGCCGTACGGTTGGGGGCTTGTGCTGCAGTGTCCACGGGCAGGGGTGTGTGTTCCTGCTCCTCGCCAGCCCCTCTCACACCCAGGTGAGCGGCGGGGGGGCGGGGCGGGGGGGGGGGGGGGGCCTGGCTGTAAGGACGCTGTGTGTCAGACTTGCATGTTTGGCTGTGGTGAGGGACCGACCACATGCCAACATGTCAGACCCAGCAGGATCCCCTCTTTTTTTTCAGTGACGGGATGGGGGGCAGCATTGGAGGGAGCAAGATTTTGGCCTGAGGATGAGGTCGGGAGTGTCCAGCCTGGGGGAAACTGGAGGATGGAAAAGGCAGGACAAGGGTAGAGCTGATGGCCCCGGTGCTGGGTGCGGGGAGCAGCGGTGGCCGGGCTGGGTGCTCAGGCTGTGTTTGGGAGCTGGGATGGCAGTCTGGAGGGTAGCAGGCTGGCTAACGCTCTGGTAACCATGTACTGTGGTGCTGCTGTCCTTGCCGCTTTGCGCCATCTCCGCTCTGGAAAGAAAATAAATTTGTATTTATACTGAGACCCGGATCGGTGCACTGACTTCTTCTATCCATCCATCTCAGCTGAATCAGGGCAGCTCCTGGTGCTCTGCCATCCTGGCACTGCTCCTGCAGGGCTGCTGGGACACAGATGTCCCTGTGCCCTGCCCCTCCCTGGCTCTCCAAAGCGTTGGAAGCAGAGCTGAAGCCGTGAGCAGAGCCCCGGGTTCCCCAGACAGGGATGCATCCCCCAACCACCATCTCACTTCATCCTCTTCCAGCAAGGTCTGCTCAGAGCCACAAGGGCTGGGACAGGGGCTGTGTGGGCACGATGGGCGCTTCTGATGTAGGAAACCCTTGAGCCCCAGAAAGGACATAGGCAGTGGCAGAAGGCTGGGCTGGCAGTCCAGGTGCCTCTGCCCCAAGTGCTGCCCATGTTCCCATGGCACAGTGAGGGGCAAGGCTGGGGGGGTCTAGGCTCTCTCCAGGGTGCAGCCCAGCCTTTGCTGATGTTGAAGCCTGCCCAGGACTGATAATTGTAGGGCTGGACCTGCTCTCAGCCCTGCCTAGAAGGGCTGGCAGTGCTGAGAAAAGACAGGACACGGTGCTGCTACAGGGTAGTGTGGGTACAGCTCTCACATGGGAGAGATTCAGGAGCTTAAATGTGGGTGAAATGGAGCCTCTTGAACTCCCCGCTCTCAAAGGGAGAGTAAAATGCCCCATCTCCACCCCTGTGCCACAGGCTCCAGGGCAAGGCAGGAGGTGCAGGCTGCGATCAGGGGATCCAGTCACATCTAGGAACCAATTCAGTGCCAGGGAAGAGCTTTTATTTCTCAGCCAGAAGAGCTCAGCAGAACCCAGCTGAAAGTTGCTGGAGATGGTAATTCGGGGCAAGGAGGCAGAAGGCGCTGCTACATAGCGGAGCTGGTGGTCCTGGCAGTGGCAGAATGAGAATGACTTTGTCCCCATGTCTCTGTAGGGCCACTCCCTACCCTTGGAGCTCCCTCTCAGGGTACAGCAGCCCCACTGCCTGTGCTCTGCCTCCTTCTCGGTGGTCCGGCAGCCTTTCCCTCACCCAAGGGTAAGTGCCCTCGGGTCACAGCCCTGAGCTCTCTGCTCTTGCTTCACTGCACGGGGGATGCATCTCCCCCTTCCCTGTCTGCTATGGGGCAGGGAGGTACTTCTGCCCGGTCCCCACCCTGCTCCTCACCTGCCCCTGAGGTGAAGCTGTCTGCAGCGATGCTGCACTCCCTGCAGCTCCCCTCTCCCACTGCCTCTCTGGATGGTTCATCCTCCAGCTCCTGGGGTCCCTCAGCTGGTCCCAACCCCTCGCTGGGGGGTCCTGGCTCTGGGGGTGTGCCTGGCTCAGCCTCGGCCGTGCTCCCTGTACCAGCTCCCTCTGCCTCAGGGGTGTCTTGCTCTGTTCCCTCCTCTTCCTCAGGTTGCCCTGCAGCCCGCTTTTCCATCTCTGTTGCTGGGCTCTCTTCCTCTTCATCCTCCTCCACGTGGTCCTCACTCTCCTCTTTTTTTTCCTCCTCCTCCACCTTTTCTTCTTCCTCCTTCTCCACCTCCTCCCTCTCCTCTTTCTCCTCTTCCTCCTCTGCCCCTTTCTCTCCTCTCTGGCTCTCTAGCTCTGCCCTATAGGTGCCCAGATTTGCTTCTTCCCCCAGTCCTGTCCCATCTCTCGGTTCCACCTCTGCAGTGTGCCCCTGGGCTACTTCTCCTGGTGCTGTCCCTTCACACTCAGCCCCGGGGGTCCCTTGTTCTGCTTGATCAGATCCTGATGGTTCTGCTTGGTCACAACCTGGTGGTTCTCCTTCTTCAGTTCCTGCACCCCATTCTCCCTGCCCAGCGATTGCCGTGACCCCAACCTCATCCTTGGTTGCTTCTTCTTTTAGCATCACCCCATTGCCCACTTCCGCGCTCTCCTGCCTCTCCCTGGCCTGTGACCCCCGAGACGGGGTCTGGAAGAGCCCCTGGTAGCGCTTCCGATCCTCCACATGCTTCTTCCTCATCCTCTCGCCCAGCTGCTTCAGCTCCTTCTTCACAGCGGCCGCCATGGAGGGGGCGAGGGGAGCCACCCGCAGGA